AGGGGAATCGCGTACCCCTCATTTGTACTCATTTTACGTCAATTACATGGAAATTGAACTTTGAAATCAAGGTTGTCACCTTATGAATTAAAAATGCTTATTTTTTTTTTTTGTATGCTGATGATACAATTTTTATCACTGAAAATATTGCTGATTTACATAAAATGATTGTTTGTGTTAGCGCATACTAAATGTATATGACTTGCATATAAATGTTGGGAAAACAAAAATTATAACTTTTAAAAATGTATGGCTTATTAAAGCCAATGACTCAGGAATATGACAGTTGTTTTCCATTCAATAGATGTGTTTGAGCTTTTGATTGTGCCATTTTGTAAAGGACTTTCCGTTTTGAATTTCCCTTGGAGTTCGGTATTTTTGTCGTTTTACCTTATAAATGTTGAACTAATAGAATCATGTGATCGATTTCTTATATTTGATGTTTTATTCAGAAATAACGGTATGTGTGATCATACTAAAAAAAAGGCAATATTTAGTCTATTTAGTAAAACATATGATGATTGTTTTTATCATTTTTTGACACATATATATCTGGTATCCTAAAGTATGGTGACATTGCAAAGCACACTATGTTGAAAAGGTCCATTTAAGCTTCTTAAAAAGAATTCTCAAAGGAAAGAATTCAACTGTTAACTATATGGTATATGACGATTAAGAAAAACTATATAAGATGTCTGCTCTAAAAACATGTTGTGCTGCCTGATGGAACACTTCTGAGACTAGCTCAAATTTTAATTTACACAATATTTTATTTTAATTACGTAGACATTCAACAGCATAGAATATTTAATTTTGGGAATTAAATTCCAATTTGACTTTGGTGAGGTACAAAAATAAGTCCACTTACATCATAATGGAATTTAGAACCAAAAACCTTTTTAGGTATATAGAACCACTAATTCGGGCTAGGTCGGAAAAAGCATACAAGAAAGTAGTACATATTTTAAACAAAACAGTTCCTACGCATAGCTGTATCTTTGTCAATAGGTGAAATATTTGGGTAGTCTTGGTATCAAATGAAAGCTTGGGGACTTGGTATCAATGTAGAACCCTTGTTAAAAGTTTCTTTTGAATAATAAAGAAGTATATAAAATTATAATAGGAAGGCAAATTTGTCCTGTTGTTCAGAGCAGAAGTACCTGTTTTTATACTATCAAACTTCTTGGAACCAGTACGCTCTAATATGCTATTAAAGGTATTTTGAATTTTTCAGCTCAAGTTAGGGTACGGTATAGTTTTGACATGAAATGACTGCCACTTTATTTGAACTTATGACAAAATAGCCATTAATGCTTGAAATTGCAGAATTTAACATAGAAAGCAATGGGGCTATGCATTAGTGGTCTTATACCTATTTCTGAAAGTCATGTGAAAATAAAATTTTAGAAATCATACCCATTACAATGAAAATTGGTCACATTAGTGGGTAGTAATCATGTTACATTATTTTTTTTTATTATTTTTTTTATGTAAAAAATTATGTTGGTGTCAAATTACAGCCCTCAAATTGCTACAATAGGGTGTTTCAGCCTTATTTGGTCATTTAGCATGCCCACAGTTAAGACTTTACCTGAAGTTAAAATTTTTGCATTATCTAAGACTGAAACTAATGAAACATGTATATTATGTTTATTTATATTCAAGGAAGAATCTCTGATAAAAATAAGACATATAAGTAAGAACATTGTTATTTGAGTAGATATTAACAAATAAGAATTGGTAAAAATTGAAAAAGTCTCATATCTGTCACTATAAGCATGATTAGTATTCATATGGAGTTTTCTTTGTATAACGCATATGTTACTACCAGTCCAATTTGAGCTTGAATTCAGTGATATAGTGTTTTGACAAAAGCTTTATTAGTTTTTCTATGCTAGAAATATATCATAGAAGGAAATTCAGTAAAGCAGAATCAATATAACAAGTTTGGTGCTGTTATATAACGATTTGAAAAAAAACTGTTTGTCTAGAACACTTTGATATGCGTTTTCTAACTATCTAGTATTTAAAATTTTCATTCAATTATATACATAGTGAACATAAACTATATATAATTATTTATACATTCACTAATTATTGCGGTTAATTTATTCTTATTACCCAAGCTCATCTATTGTTTGTCATGCAATTCAAAGCAGTGGTCTTTATAAAACACATGTAATTACATATGTATATATATGTCAATTATGTCACCACATACAATAAAACTTCTCGATCATTAAGTAGTCACTATTTGTTTTGTTCGTGTAGTTAACTGAAAATGTTCACAGGAATGCATTATTAATAAAAACAAAGATTTGCTTTACACAGAAAGGACACGTCTTTGCTATCAAACAGTACATGTGTATATTCAGGATATAAAACACTTAACTTTTTTTTACTCAAATAAGCTTGATATGTGAAGAAATGTGTTTTTAATTCTTAATATCACAGTATACAATTTGATCATAAGTGACCCAAAGTAATCATGATTTAAGAAAAGTAATCTATGTAATCAGTATAATAGATTCAGTAGTTAGTTGTAATGATATCGATATCGATATCATTATATTAGCTAAGTAGTTGTTATTTAAGTAATTACAATTTAAAGTAATTGACCCATGTAAATATAAGTTATTGCTGTGGTTGTATACATTTTCGTCTTAATTAATCAATTATGAAAATTGTTATTCTAGTTTTCAATAAATGTATATGCTTTGGCACGTACATTAGTTAAATGTTTAAATAGATATAAGAAAATGTGGTATGAGTGCCAATGAGACAACTCTCAATCCGAGTCAAAATTTATACAAGTAAACCAATATAGGTCAAAGTTCGGTCTTCAACGCGGAGCCTTGGCTCACACCGAACAGCGAGCCATAAAGGGCCCACAAAATTACTAGTGTAAAACCATTCAAACGGGAAAACCAACGGTCCAATCTATATAAAAAACGAGAAACGAGAAACACTTATGAACCACATCAACAAAAAACAACTACTGATCATCAGATTCCTGTTTAGATATTTTACTCTCCATCACCAAGGGTAGATAACTATGCACCATATCAGATGATCTGTTTTGCCAATTTTAAAAGTAGGTAACTAATCTGGAAGAGGAAGCATCAAGATGTCTAAATGTGTTCTTTTCCACTTGATGTTTGTCTTTTTGTACGCAATACTTATGCCCATTATTTCAGAGTCAATGATATCCAAATATATAGTCTGGCTCTGACTACTTCAAAAAAAGACCCAAAAGGTGTCACTGTGTATAGTAGATGCATGATTTACACTCATTGGCAAAACTTAGATTGCATTCATCAATCTTAAGAGCCAATCTGCCAGAAAACCATGCAAAACCGTCCGAATGTCACTTTTTCAAATGAGTTCATATTTGGCATATTGGTGCACCTTAGTAATGTAAATAACCACACATTTTTTTTGGGGAAAATATTGAACCGATCTGGATATTTTGAGCGCCATGTTTTAACAGATGAAATTGCTCGAAAACAGCAAAAATAAGCCTTTTTTGGCATATTTCGCTGGTTTAAATAAAAAAATATGGTAACATTTATAATTTTTTGATAGTTGTTCCTAGTAATACATCACTTTAAGTGTAAGAATGCATAGAATTAACAATGCTGTCTATTAAGTGTATGTATAATCTAACTGTTTCAATGTGTCTTATTTAGCTACATGTCCAAAATGGCTGATTTTGGTCATCTTTCAGAGCCAAAATACTCCAAGACCCGTTTATTATTGTAAAACAACATATCTACTTGCAAAGTATAACTATATATACCCAATCAAAAAAATATCAAGCTCGGCAAATAATGTTGGTGTCTGGTATATGCCACAACAAAATGGGGTAACCTGCATATTCAAATTTTCTCAATTTTGCCGTCTAATTTGTAACTACTGACATATGATAGGATCTGGACTTATAAATAAGTATAACAACAAATGGAAAAGAATAATTAATGTTTCATTTAATACATTAAGAAAATAGTCATACATAAATACAAATTATTCATTATAAATCTAGAGGCTCCCAGGAGCCGAAATAGATCGTATTGACAAATTGTGCACCTAAAACGATAAAAAACACATATTTCAAACGCGATCAATTTAAACTAGAAGTTAAACAATTCAGAATAAGTTCAGACTGTAAAAAAAAAGTTTCTTCTGACCACTTTTGCAATTTATTCTTATAATATATTGATATAGTTGTCGGATAGTAGCAGAAAACTGTGAAAATTTGTAAATTTACACATTTCAGGGACAATAGCTCATAGATGTTATGTCCAATTTTTCAGAAAAATTTTGGGTATTAAGATCTTGTCATGTTGATAGTTTTTATCAATATATGTATATATTATATATATATATATATACAAGTCTAAATTGAAAACAACGTTCAAACCTACGATTGCGTTGGATAAAAACCGCAATTTTTATACGTGTGCATGCAAAAACAAATTTCTTGTTAGAGGGGTCTAAATACAGCACAAACAACATATATATATTGAAAAGTTTTTAAATTTTGTATACATATATATATGTATGACACTTCTTCAAAAGTTATTAAGATGATGGTTTAAAAGTGAAAACTGTAAACAGATGATTTTAACAGACACTTAGTGATGGAAATTTTTTGTATGACCCTTTGAGCCTAGTATGCTAACAAGGCAAGATTTGCATGGTACCTATATCTATGTTGCTGCAATGTGGTCAATACAAACATGAAAATCATAAATGCTTTTAAAAAAAAATCCCATAACTAGACGAAAAACAAATTACTTAGTCTATATATACCAGTGCAAAACTTTTTAAAGAATTTTGAATGAAATTGGATAGCTGTTAAGATTACTGTACCTATAATGCTCTACATCACATCCTCGGAGATAACAGAATTAAAATAAGTCATATGAATCTTCAAATTTCAATAAAGTTGAATGTGTTTTTGTAATACTTGAACGGCTATAGGTTTTACTATAAACTTTCTTGTAAAAGAAAAACCATAACATTAAAATCTCCATAAATGATGAACTGTTATTTTTTGAGACATCATCCCATTGTAGATTTAACTGATGTTTTAAAGTTGGAAAGTTTCTGTTGCTTGTTTGGTTGGTTGAAATTGTTTCTGTTAGAAGCATTATCAGTCTCCAAATCTGATGTTGACTGCTGTGAAAGTTCAGTTGTTGTTGACACTGACAGAAAGGTTAGCTGCGAGTCTAGATCTGAAAACCACAAAACATACATACATAAATCAGGCTGTTAGTTTTCATATTTTTTCATTTTCTTATTTTGGGGCCTTTTATGGCTGAATATATATGCAGTATAGGTCTTGCTCATTGTTGAAGGCCATATGGCGTATGAAGACCTATAGCTTTACTTCTATGTCATTTGTTCTCATTGGCAATCATACCACATTTTTTTTTAATTCCATATATACCACTGACAGGAAATAACATTGACAACTTTTACTGTAAGTGGATGCAGTTACAAAATTCTCCCAACTAAAGCCAAATCATTTTTGCAGAATAGTTATTATCCACTCCTTTTAAACATGTCCAAATAGCCCTTAACATCTTTACAACAATAAAAATTGCCTCCATTTGGTTTGGCATGTCAAATTACCTCTCAATATAATTTTACATTGAAAACAGACAATGGTGATAATTTGACCGCTTTTAGTGACAATCTTTGAAATGGTGGCCATCTTTATATCTGTTCTCTGTGTCAAAGTACAGCTAAATATCAATATTCTTTAAAATCAAACTCAACAAAATTGAAAATTTTACCCTTTATTTGCTGTGTCCATCTTTAAAAAAAAATTTCATTGTTTTGTTGGCATGTCAAAAGTGCTATAATTCCTTAATGTCAATTTTCATATAAGGCCATCTTGAAAATGTTTGCCATTTTGGAAGAAAAAACAACCTTACTTTGTTTAGCAAGTCAAACTACCACGACTATCCCTAATTAACAATTTTCATTAAATTAACCAGTGTTGAAATTTGTGCCATCCTTGGTGGCCATCTTGAAAATGTTTGACATCAGATAATTATCCACAAATTGTGCTTTTCTTTTCACTAAAGTTTCATTTAAAAAGATAACACCAGTTATCTCCGAAAAAGACAAATTTTGTGGAAGATGAAGAAAAAATGCAAGTTTGGACAGAACATTCAAGCTATAACAGCTCTAAATTTGTAATGGGATTAAATATTTGACAAAGAATAGGTTTCTTACACAGAATAAATATGGTATAAAGATAAAGTTTAATAGATTCAGCATATCAGAGAACCCCAAGATCAAATTAAGATTTAAAATTTAGTTTAATTTTGGACCCTTTGGACCTCAATGTAAACCAATTTCATAATAGGGCCCAAAAACTAAATACAGGTTAGATTCAGGCTGAATCAGCATCTTTAAAATTATTGTTGAAATCAAACACAGTTAAATTATGGACCCCATTTGAACCAACTTGAAAACTGGGACCAAAATCATAAATCTAAGTACATATTTATATTCAGGATATTTGATTATTTCTATTTATCATTCAAAGAACCCTAATTCATTGTAATAAGAGTTCAAGTTTTGTTAAAATTAAACTAAGTTAAAATTTGGACCCTTTGGACTTTAAAATGTGGACAAATTTGAAAACTGGACCAAAATTAAAAATCTAAATACAAAACATTTGCATTTTGTATATCAAAAGAACCTCAAGAATTCAAGTTGTGTAGAAATAAGAAAAAAAATTTTGGACCATTTTGAAATCAATGTGAACCAATTTAAAATGGGGCCCAATTGCAACATCTTAAATTATTTAAATACATTTGTACATTGTTAGATTTAGCATATTAAGAACCCAAATAATGTATTTATTTTAATCTGTTCTTGTCCTAAACATGCATGAACTATTTGTCATTGGACATTAGCATTACCAACAACCAATTAATTAATCGAACAGGTGAAATATCTTCAAAAGTACCAATAAAAATCTCCCCCTTTTATATTTGAAAAAGTAAAATCACAAAAATACTGAACTCCGGGGAAAATTCAAAAAGGAAAGTCCCCAATCAAATGGCAAAATCAAAAGTTCAAACACATCAAACGAATGGACAACAACTGTCATATTCCTGACTTGGTACAGGCATTTTCTTATGTAGAAAATGGTGGATTGAACCTGGTTTTATAGCTAGATATTAAACCTCTCACTTGTATGACAGTCGCATCAAATTCCATTATATTGACAACGATGCGTGAACAAAACAAACAGACACAATTGGTAAAATTGTCAAAAATAGGGGTACAGCAGTCAACATTGTGTTATCATCTTAATCACTATAAAAACAAACAAATGTAACGAAGAAGCACAAAAAGGAATACATAAAATTTAACATCCTCATTTTGTTTATATTATACGATTTTATATATCTATGTAAAATCCACCCCTAAAGGATGGAAGGTTTTAAGTACTGGCGTAAAATCGCTCGTTTGAAATTCGCACAGGTAGACATAAAATAATTTTGTCGGTCAAAGTATGACGGGATACATAAATACAGAGTCACGTAAAATGGATATCACAAAAAACAGACTTAACAGTAAAAGTAATACGTATTAATAAATAAAATTATTGAAATGGAATGTATGAACAGTTCATTAGTCATTGTTAGTTATTGAATGGAAACTATAGGAGCCGCCCAATATAGTACTACAAATTAAAATTAGCAAAGTGATTTTTCAATGGGGAAACCAAATTAACAAAGACCTGTTTAATAAAACTGATGTACAAATGTATAACATGTAATTGTATAATTATGTTATTATATAAGTGATTACATATACTTTGTATGATTACCATGTTATACAAACAGTTAAATTAATATATAAGTTAATAATAACTTACCAATATCTTCTTCTATACATGTATTTAGTTTGACCTGGCTATTGTCACTTTTACAAAAATTCATCTTAATTGAGCATTGCTTGCATATATATAGCCCTACAAATAAAAAGTGTTTAACTATAAAATAATTCTTCAATTTTGTTTTACATGAAATAAAATATATCAGACAGGAAATGTAGGGTAGTGTAGCATCACTGTGCATGTAGTTTAAATGTATGTTTTTTTCTTTTAAAAAGGGCTCTATAAGTAATCTACATACATGTACATGTAGGGTCCTAAAATTGAACTTTACAAAAGTTTGCAATACTTTTGATTTTTTTAGTCTCCATAGTCTTCATTAAAAAAATATTATTCTCTGGATAAAGTTGTCTAGTGTACAGTTTGTTGTATGTAAAACATGTATTTGTAGGAGGCTTTTCCACGAGATAAAAGTTATTTTAGTAGACAAAGAGCTGAACAACTTCCAGTAAGAACTGAAAATATAACTTAGGGGAAGAGAATAAAAACCTGACCTGCTAAACGTTGAATATGTTGAAATAGATTTTGATTATTATCATGATTCTGGTCTATAAATTGATTTTTTAAAGCAGAAAATAAATATATATTGTACCCTGGTTAATAGCTTGAAAATTAAAATTCTGTCCTAAGCTGACAAGGACATAAATATTTTGACCATTCTAACCCTCCCCCTTGCTTTTTTAATTAAATGGTCCCAAGACAGAACAATGTATATACGGATATATATTATTTGCTTGCACTTTGCCATAGGAAATAAATAAGATGTCTTAGAAACAGGTCAGGTGTAAAAGAATATTCACATGCCCCTTCAACCCTTTTTTAATCTAAAATTGAGAATGGAAATGGGGAATGTGTCAAAGAGACAACAACCCGACCATAGAACAGACAACAGCAGAAGGTCACCAACAAGTCTTCAATGCAGTGAGAAATTTCCGCACCCGGAGGCGTCCTTCAGCTGGCCCCTAAACAAATATATATACTAGTTCAGTGATAATGAACGCCATACTAAACTCCAAATTGTACACAAGAAGCTAAAATTAAAAATAATACAAGACTGACAAAGGCTAGAGGCTCCTGACTTGGGACAGGCGCAAAAATGCGGCGGGGTTAAACATGTTTATGAGACCTCAATACTCCCCTATACCTCTAGCCAATGTAGAAAAGTAAACGCATAACAATACGCACATTAAAATTCAGTTCAAAAGAAGTCCGAGTCTGATGTCAGAAGATGTAACCAAAGAAAATAAACAAAATGACAATAATACATAAATAACAACAGACTACTAGCAGTTAACTGACATGCCAGCTCCAGACTTCAATTAAACTGATTGAAAGATTATGTCTTCATCATATGAATATCAGGCACAATCCTTCCCGTTAGGGGTTTAGTATCATACCATCATAACATATATGAGAAGAACATAACCCGTGTCATGCCAACAACTGGTTTTTAAATAAATGTGTTTAGTGCCGATGCAAACACCCTATAAGTGAATCAATATTAACGCCAAAATATGCAATCTTTAATGACCTGACAACAGTATCGTAACTATATCCCTTCTTAATAAGTCTATTTAAAGGTTTTGTTAGCTTCAGAGGTGAATACTGACATTTTTGTGCTTTATACAGAATATTTCCATAAAAAATTGGATGTGAAATACCTGAACGTATAAGAAGTCTGCATGTTGAGCTATATTTACGAATGATGTCCTTATACCGATGATAAAATTTAGTAAATGTTTTGACTAGTTTGTGATATCGAAAACCCTGGTGTAATAATTTTTCAGTAATACATAAATTTCTCTCGTTAAAATCTAAAACATTGTTACATACACGAGCGAATCGTACAAGTTGAGATATATAAACACCGTAAGATGGTGACAAGGGAACGTCACCATCTAAAAATGGATAATTAACGATAGGAAATGAAAAATCATCTCTTTTATCATATATTTTAGTATATATCTATCTATTTAATGTATCAATTGTTGGTCCCCTAATTTCAGATTGACTATATGGAACAAATGAAAATTGATTGTAAGATTTGTACCTGTTCCTACTGGAATAACTTGTCCTGTATACAGCCTGTTTTGAAAGGGTGAAGATCCTTGGTCAGCTTTGGCTTTGTTGGAAGAGGGTTGGACGAGATGTTGACATCTTGCTTGACTATCATGTCAATGAATTCCATAAAAGTCCCTGTACTTCGAGCATATTCAACGACAAGATGATGTAACAACCATAGGAAAATAAACCACTCCTTGTCTTATATAAAATAAGGAGTCCTGTTGGAAATTCTTCACCATAGTTTTCAGTATTATTCAGACTTCCTAAATGTAGATGAATGGTAGTCTGTATCTGTATAAATATGTTTGGTTACCAATGCTGGTTTCAATACCACGGTAGAGAGAGTGTCGTTGATTTATTGATGGTGCGCCAGAGCAGTTTTGACACTCTCAATCTCAATTTTGGTGCGAGCAAGGTGGTTCCACTCGCTCACTTTTTTTTTTAAGAAGAATGATTTAGAATACTTTTGTTTTGCTCGTTGAAATCTAAAAACACTTTTTGCTGTTCATGGACTTATTTTTCCAATCAATATTTATCATGTTTATTCACTAAATTATTGTCATGATTGTCAAATTTCTTGGCAGTAATTATTTTTTTTGGAAATGCTATTTTGGTCTTTAGTGCATTCAGATATCTTAAATAGTTTGTAATATGTAGATGTATAAGGCTGGGATAGCCCACATGCTCATCCTAGATTATTAAAATCACAAACGTCACTGTAAACATTTGTCTGCCAAACCATCACTGGGAGCTGACATGTTTGAGATCTTACCCAAGGGAGATAAGTCAATGGAAGATCATAAAAGATGGACTCCCTGGTTTCAGACAATTTATTGATTTTTGGACTTGCAGTACAAATACGTCTTATTTCATTTTTCAGACAAATTGATTTTACTTGTTCGAATGATTTTATGAGCCATTTTAGTACCAATTGTGTTAAGAATTTAATTAAAATCAAAATCAAAATGTGTCAATTTGGGACTAAAATCACCATTCTTCCAAGGCATAAATTAACATATAATAGTCATTTGCCAAGCTTAATATTTTGTTTTGATATAAAACATACCTCATAGTTAAAACCGATATAAGTTGCAAACAAATCCGGAATGGGTCTTGCAAGATAGAAGTGAATGAAAACCACGTAAATTCATGTATGAAAAACACCGCCTTTGTGTCCCTGCTCCTGGCAATGTGCCAAATCGTTTAAATTTTCATTTGTATTGATCATAACATAGTAAAATGGATGAGTTTCAGCTGACATTACTCTAAAAACTCAACTACCTCATTTAATATGCTTCTGGGTCATTCTTAAAAGGCATAAAAAAGTTGGATTTTTCCTTGGTTTCATTATGAATTTACAGAATTATGCAAATGAGGCTGTTACTAAAAATAGATACGATTCTTGGAAAAATTAAGTGATCAAATTCTTTTATTTTATGTCAAGGATTAAGATGATGTATAAAAATTTGTCAAGTTGTGATTGTCGATTTGGACGATTTTCTGAATATTGCATGGTTTTCTGGCGGATTGGCTCTTAAGCTAAATTACTATGCATTCTATTTAAAGGTTTTCAACAAACTAGCCCTTACAAATACAGTTAAGATTCCATTTCGAATTATTAAAAAAATCCATTTTCTTATTTTGAGGTCTCCTGTAAGCAGCTGTAAAGTACCATTATGACAAACATCAGATTTCTAGTAACTAGTATCAAACTGTTGTTAAGGGCAGTAAGTCGAACCCATTATGCGCTTTTACAAAATGAATATTGGCTGTAGCAAAAGCAAAAATCAGTGTATGTGTGATAACTTATCAAACAGTATCCATATGAAAATTTCATCGAATATCTTTGTTTTAACAAAAATTCTTTATTATAAAAATATCAAAATTTAGATACTTCATGATGTATCTTATACACAAGTTTTGTTAAATCTCTGAATAATTTCCCTTTAAAAAACATAGATAAATGAAATGCACGCGACTTCATTCATATAACCGTACAACTATCACAACGTTTTGTTGTGTTTTATTTCATATTCTCAACCAAAAAAAAACTTACAACTAATTCAAATTGCCGATAAAAAGAATAATGTAATTTTCATTTAATACCGACTCCATCACCTCGAAATTCAGCCTTGTCAGGCTCGCTTGCTATTCTTGATGATAAAGCCAATATCAAAAACATTAATGTCATTATTCTATATATATCATACTTGTTGTGTTGATATATTATCTATAACCACGTACACATATTTTTAAGAATTGCTTTACTTTTCCTTTTACCTTATTGGTAGTTTAAAATCCCTTTAGAACAGTATTTATATATAAATGTATGTGTAAATTAATCAAAACAAGCCATTAGATGTAGTGATGAACAAAGGACGTTCAATAAGCCGATTTTATAGATGAACCTACTAATGTACGTTTTCTTTTATTAAGAGATAGATTTCTTTGTTTAAAATTTCATGAAAATTGTAAGTGTTTATAAATGACGAAGAACAATCCATTAGTTGTAATAAAGATATAATGACTTTCAATAAGCCGATTTTAGTGATAAACAGACTAATGTACTCAAGTAATTGCATTAAATGATATATTTATTTTTACAGCATCTTATATTATTAAGGGTAGAATATCTTTTTCAATACAGCTATGATTAAAACCATACAAAGTGATTATAAATTTTCAGTAATTGTACTTAAATCCTTAGCAAATTATCCTGAGACACGGTTAAATGTTTTGTTTAATAGAAAAACACAGGATATGGAATATCAATTCATTAGTATTACACGGATATTGAACTTTAAACATTGCATGTCACTTCTCAAAATATTGCTCCGAGAATATCAGATACCTGTTACGTTTTTCTGGATGATGGATCTTTCATATAAAGGAACAACACACACGATACCAAGTGCCGATGCAATGAACTTCAGTGCATACCATTATGACATGTGTTCGGTCATTTTTTATCCCAAATAAAATGCAAACTTCTGTTTGTGAAAACATTTAATTCATTTCAGTTTACATATAATTAATATAAAAAAAAAGATGCGATATGATTGCAATTGAGACTATTCTCCACAAGAGACCAATTGACACAATTTAACACCTATACATCACCGTACGGCCTTTAACAATAAGCAATACTCATACCACTAAGTCAGCTATAAAAGGCCTTGAAATGACAAACATGTAATGTGGTCTTTTGGGGTTTTACTTGCCTTTCTAATATTCTTTTTTTTCCAGCCAACTGTAACAAACATAAACTTTTAGCTACTTCTTTACAAGCAGAACCAAATACAATGAAAGTTCTAACATGTACTGGCTTCCGAAGCTGCACGAAACACCTTACAAATATAGATTTATTTCGTCTTCAAGCCAATGTTCCACCACTAAACTGTCTATTCTACTTACTATTACACTAGGTACAATTAAAAACCTGGTAATAAATTGTTCAAATAAGGCCTTTGAAAATAGTGGAATTAATTACTTTTGGATTGTCAAAAATTCGTTGGAAGTACTTGATAAATTACACGCTTATATTGGTGATTTCGAATCTGTTCAAAGTTTCGATTTTTCTACCCTATATACTACTTTGCCTCATAATCTTATTTAGAAAAAAATCACACACCTAATTAAATGGGCATTTAAAAAGTCAGAATGCGAATATATATGTTCAAACTCTTTTAGGTCTTTTTTCTAGAAACAACAAACAAAAGAACTATGTCAATTTGACCTGCTTTGATACTATAACTGCCCTTGAATTTTTTGCTAGATAACATTTTTGTTCGCTATGGAGATTCCGTATTTCGTCAAGTTATCGGAATTCCAATGGGGACTAATTGTGCACCACTTATTGCGGACCTGTTTCTGTATTGTTATGAGTTTCAATGTATGACTAAAATCTGCAAAGACCTATCGAAATAACATCTGATACAAAAATTTAATAACACTTTTAGATATTTGGAGGATATCTTTGCTCTCAATAATGACGACTTCAGTATTTACACTAAAGAGATATATCCTGCTGAACTGACTTTATATAAAGCTATTACTAACAATGAACACTGCCCTTTCCTGGATCTTGATATCTATATCTTTAACGGGAAGCTTAATACAAAAATTTATGATAAAAGAGATGATTTTTTATTTCCTATAGTTAATTATCCATTTTTAGATGGTGACGTTCCCTTGTCACTCGCTCGTGTATGTAACAACGTATTTGATTTTAACGAAAGAAATCTCTGTATAACGGAAAAATTATTACACCAGGGTTTTCGATATCACAAACTAGTTAAAACATTTACTAATTATGTACAAGGACATCATTCGTAAACATAAATCAACATGCAGACATCTTATACGTTCAGGTATTTCACATCCAATATTTTATGGTAATATTCTTTACAAAGCACAAAAATGTCGGCATTCATCTCAAAAGCTTACCAAACCTTTAAACAGACTTATTCAGAAGGGATATAGCTACGATACTGCTGTCAGGTCATAAAAGATGGTTTATTTGTGGTATTAATATTGATACACTAATAGGGTCTTTGCATCGGAAATAAACACATTTATTCTAAAACCAGTTGTTGGCATAATACGGGTTATGTTCCTCTCATATATTTTATGATGGTATGATACTAAACCCTTTACGGGAGGGATTGTGCTTTATTTTCATATGCTGAAGACATAATCTTTCAATCAGTTTAATTGAGGTCTGGAGCTGGCATGTCAGTAACTGCTAGTAGTCCTTTGTTAATTTATGTATCATTGTCATTTTACTTAGTTTCTTTTGTTATCTATTCTGACATCGGACTCCGACTTCTTTTAAATTGAGTTTTACTGTGCGTACTGCGGTGTGTTTGTTTTTTTCTACATTGGCTAGAGGTATAGGGGGAGGGTTGAGATCTCACAAAACATGTTTAACCCGTCACGTTTTTGAGCCTGTCCCAAGTCAGGAGCCTCTGGCCTTTGTTAGTCTTGTATGATTTTTGTTTTAGTTCATTTATATGTTTTGGAGTTTAGTATGATGTCCATTTTCACTGAACTAGTGCTCATTGTTGTTTAGGGGCCAGCTGAAGCCCGCCTCCGGGTGCGGGATTTTCTCGCTGTGTTGAAGACCCATTGGTGGCTTTCGGCTGTTTTCTGCTCTTTGGTCGGGTTG